TCAGCACATGAACTCAGAATAATGCTGTTTGGAAAAAATGATGACAAGAAATCAGCCCTGGAAAACATCATCACTGGAAAGAAAAGATCCATTGTGTCTAAAGTTCTTGAAAGAAGGCAATGTCACGATGCCTCTGGAGAGTGGAACGGGAAACCGTTAACAGTAGTCAAAACTCCTGACATCTTCAGTCTGTCTGTTGATAAATTGTTAGAAGTGATGAAGAGCTGTGTGAGTCTCTGTCCTCCTGGACCAAATGTTCTGCTGCTGTTAGTGAAACCTTCTGATTTCTCTGAAGAGGACAGAAAAAATCTGAACTTGGTCCTCAGTGTGTTTGGTCAAGATGCATTTAAGCACTCCATGGTCATCCTGACACATAATGAGAGAAAGAGTGACTCAGTGGAAGACTCATCAAACACTGTGATCACAGGCAGGAATATATCAGTTATTTTGACAAGGAAAGACATCCATTCTACCTCAAGAGTTGATGGAAGAAATGAATGAGATAGTGAGTAAAAACTGGGGAAAATATCTATGTTAAAAGAAGAGGCTAAACCCAATCTGAAGTCCAGTCTGAACCTGGTTCTGTGTGGGAGGAGAGGAGCAGGGAAGACGTCAGCAGCCAAGGCCATTTTAGGTCAGACTGAGCTTCATTCAGCCTCCAACTCATCAGAGTGTGTTAAACATCAGGGAGAGGTGTGTGGACGTTGGGTTTCCCTGGTGGAGCTGCCTGCCTTGTATGGAAAACCTCAGGAGGCAGTGATGGAGGAATCATTCAAGTGTATCTCCCTCTTGATCCTAGGGTCCATGCCTTCATCCTGGTCCTACCTGTGGCTCCCCTCACGGATGAAGACAAGGAGAGTTAGAGACCATCCAGGATACACATTCAGCTCTCGAGTCAATGACTTCACCATGATCCTGTTCACTGTGGACTCAGATCCTACAGATCCAGCTGTTCGTTAACTTTTTCAAGGAAAACCAGGACATCCAGAAGCTCCTTCAGACTTTTAGACAAAGACATGTGGTTCTCAATATCAAGGCTAAACAGCAGAGGGATAGTTTGGAGACCATGCTTCAGACTGTGGATAAAATGAGCCTGTCTGAAAAGAGCATGGGCAAACCACACTGTTATACAGCTATAACCTTGCTACATGCACAAATGGAGAAAGTCTTACAACAAGAGAAAATCATTAAGAGGCAACAAGATGAAGCTAAGAAATTGAAGATGAACATGATCACTGGTAAGCACAAATATTTTTCTTAGTCTGATATCCTACAGTCTTGATATAACAACCTACAATAATGAATATAAAACTTTATGTTTATGTTTTAGGTGGTGAAGGTGGAGAACAGGACTCAGACTGCCTCAGGATTGTGCTGATTGGGAAGACCGGCTGTGGAAAGAGCTCTACAGGAAACACCATTTTAGGAAGAGACGAGTTTACAGCTGCATCAAGTCAAATATCAGTTACACAACGATGTCAGAAAGTACACGGTGAGGTGAGCGGTCGTCCTGTTGTTGTGGTCGACACTCCTGGTCTGTTTGACACAAGTTTGTCCAATGAAGAAATTCAAGAGGAGATGGTGAAATGTGTCAGTCTCCTGGCTCCAGGACCGCATGTCTTCTTGGTGGTGATACAGGTCGGCAGATTCACAGCAGAGGAGAAGGAGACACTGAAGCTCATCAAGAAATTCTTTAGGAAGGATTCAGAAAAGTTCACCTATTGTTCTTTTAACCAGAGGTGATGAACTGGAGCGTCAGGGAGAGTCTGTTGATGATTACATCAAGAACAAATGTCACAGTTCCTTTAAGAAGCTGATCTCTGACTGTGGAGGAAGATACCATGTGTTCAATAACTCTGAGAAACAAAACCGCACACAAGTCAGTGAGCTGATAGCAAAGATTGACACCATGGTGAAAGACAATGGAGGAAGCTTCTACACCAATGAGATGCTGCAAGAGGCTGAAGTACGCGATACAGAGAAGGAAATGAGAGCATTCTAAAGAAGAAGGAAGAAGAGATTCAGAGAAAATACAATCAAGAAATGGAAACCATTAAGGACAACAATGGAAAAAGAGAGAAAACAAATGGAACAGGAGAGACAAGAAAAAGCCAAAGAACTCCAGGAAATGGAGGAGAAAATTAGGTTCGAACAAGAGAGAAGAAGAAAAGAAGAACAAATTAGAAATGAAGAAGAAATCAATAAGAAAAAGGAAGTAGAAAGATATCGGGAGAATTTTAACAAACAGATTGAAATTGTGGATAAACAAATTCAGTCAGAAAAAGAGGAAAAGACAAATGTCGACAGAAAGCTGGAAGAAAGCAGAGAACAGCTGAGAAAACAACAAGAAGAGTGGGAGAAAGAACAGAAAGAATGGTGGGAGAAACAACGACAAGAAGAAGAGACGAGACGAGAGGAAGAGCAAAAAATCAAAGAGCTTGAAGAAAAGTACGAACAAGAAAAGCAAATATATGAAAACAAACTTAAGGAGGATCACCTCAGAAGAGAACAGGAGGAAAAGGAGAAGAAAGAACTGGAGGAGAAACATAAGAAAACCCTGGAGGAGATGAAGAAAAAACATGAAGAGGACGCCAGAAAGGCAGCTGAAAATGCCAATGAATCCCAAAAGAAACTTGTGGAGGAATTAGCTTATCAGAAGAAAGAATATCAGAAGGAAATGAATGAGTTACTGAAACATGTCATCAAAAGGAATTCCAGTTATTACAGGATCAAGAGATTACTGGAAAAACAGGAAAATGAAATGAAGAAAGTGAAGGATGAGGATAAAAAAGAGGAACTCCAGGAAACACATGAAAAAGAATTAGTGACGCTTATGCAAGAAATCTTATCAGAAAAGATCAATGACGCATCAGCCTGCAGCGTTATGTGATAAGAAACGAACAGTTTCAGATGCTTCATTTTATGTCAGTAAAAACAAAACAAAAATGAATCAGTACTTCTTTAAAGTTCTGTTTACTTCCCCATATTTTGCAGCACATAGAAAACACTTCTGGACATTCATTATTTTCTAAAGCTAAATACATGTATTCATTTCCAATGAATACACAAAAAACAATCGAACAATATAAGGGTATGTTACAGAACTCCATTTGTTAGCTTACAAAAACACTAAAGACAAGTTATTATACAAGCACTTCTTCACATAATTATGTAATTTATTTCTGTCACCAATTACAATGAACAATCACAGCAGAATTTATTAGTTCAACACAAATCTCTGACGTCAGATGCAGCCAGGCCACAAAATGATCCGAAAAGGGGAAAAATGAATTATAATAGTAAAAACAGTCAATAAAAAATCACAGTGGATCGACATGTTATTTGATTATTACAGTAAACAATATGGCAGAAAGCTGTAATACAGTTTTGTGTGATCATAATATACTTCGACTGCTAGTTAATAGAGACTTAATAATGAGACATGTAACTATAGTTGTGTCTAAATATGAAAAGACAGTGGTATAATACAGCTGTTATCACAACACAGTATATGTGTATCAAGTAAGACTGTACTCAGACTGGCTAATATTATCCATCCATCCATTCGCTACCGCTTATCCTTTTCAGGGTCGCGGGGGGTGCTGGAGCCAATCCCAGCTGTCATAGGGCGAGAGGCGGGGTACACCCTGGACAGGTCGCCAGTCTGTCGCAGGGCCAACACACAGGGACAGACAACCATTCACACTCACATTCACTCGCACATTCACACCTAGTGGCAATTTGGATTATCCAATTAACCTATCCCCACTAACTGCTGTTTTGTGGCTAATATTATATACTGTATTATTAAAGAACGTGTGGATTCCCTGAGTTTTATGTCCCTGAGTTGTTAAGTAACAGTATGTTCATTTATAACCATTACTATTTTCATAAATATATGTTTGATTAGTAAAGAAGGCAATTTATCATAAATGTATGAATAAACAGGCGACAGGAAAACGTCTTTAGTTTTGGTCATTAGAGACAGTTTGGTTTTCTTTCAGTAAAAAAAAAGATTTTTATGACTTGAATGAAATTGAATGTTTACATATAAGTCATTCTATTTTCTCTGTGACCTTTAAATTACAAATATTACAGCATTAACTTAATTTTTAATATATATTAATATCACTTAAATCAATAGCATATTGTAATAAAATGCCTTTAATGCTTTGATTTTTTGCTTTGATTATTGATTCTCCAATATGTTTTTGTTTCATAATTAATGACATAACTGAGACTGATTTTAATGATATGTCGTTTGCTTGTTTCATATGGATTATTTGATTTTACTACAGTTCTTGTCTGTGGTTCAGGGTGGACTGTTGTTAAATGGTGAAGTCCAAAACCTTTTTACAGTAACTTCATGTCTTTCTTGATGTTTCATCAAAGTAAACATTGAATTAATATCTCCACTTACACTGATGTATGTTTTCCATTTTAATTCCCAGATTAGTGATGATTGGTTTAACAAACTGTGTCAAAGAACCAAGATCCATAGTCGTGGTCTCAGAAAAGCCACCAAAAACTGTCACTTCTGTTTTCTGCTCATTAAAATGCAAAAAGCCCAAAGCCATCCAGGCCTTTAATTTATCAAGACACCTGAGCAGGGAGTCTACTGATAAACCATTTATCTTTTTAATGAATCCTCGAGTCATCGGCATAATAATGGAAAACAATTCCATGTTTCCCGTGTGGTGGCAGATTTCTTTATCCTGTGTATTGTTCACATATTTTAATCATATCACATTAGTAATAGTAATATCACTTTCTCACTTAGTTGTATGCATGTGAACTACAAATGGGCCTTATGCTCTACACACACATGCAGTGAGGCCATTGTATATGGGAGACGTTAAACGTAGGAGACTTCCGTTTTAGATGATGGACAAGCAGAAAACAAGGTCATAATTCTCTCTGTGAGGGAGGAGGTTTTAAGGATGGGGGCTAGTATGTATGCGCATTACTGAATATGTATAGTAAATATGTATATCTAAGTGTGTGTGTGTCTATATATACATATAATATAAATATATAAATCATACGATGGCAGTTGAAATGTGCAAAACAAGTGGCATTTACTATACAGTTGGAGTGCATAATGTTAAAGTTCCAGTAGTGAAGCTGAGGTGTCTATGAAGTGTTCAGCAGTCTGATGGCCTGGTGGAAGAAGCTGTCTCTCAGTCTGCTGGTACGGGACCGGATGCTGCAGAACCTCCTTCCTGATGGAAGTAGTCTGAACAGTTTATGGCTGGGGTGACTGGAGTCCTTGATGATCCTCCCCGCTTTCCTCAGGCAGCGCTTCCTGTAGATGTCTTGGAGGGAGGGAAGCTCACCTCCAGTTATCCTTCCAGAGCACCGCACTACTCCTGGAGAGCTTTGTGGTTGTAAGGCGTGCTGTTGCCATACCAGGTGGTGATGCATCCAGTGAGGATGCTCTCAATGGCACAGCGATAGAAGGTCCTGAGGATGCGGGGGCTCATGCCGAATCTTTTCAGTCTCCTGAGAAAGAAGAGGCGCTGCTGCGCCTTCTTCACTGTTTTGTGTCATGGTCCTGGGTCGAGCGACCCAGTGTTTGAGTTTATGTATCTTTTGTATTTATTTGTGCCTTAGCTTAGTTCACCTAGTTAATTTCTAGATTGCTGTTTAGTCTTGTTGTCTCCCCCTGTACTAAGTCTCCCTGGTTCATGCGTCATGTCTGCGTGGTTATGTTTAGTTCATGTCATGTCTAATCTCCATGTTTCCTGTTTTACTTTGAAAGTCTGTATTCAATGTCAGTGTATTCAGTTTCACCTCTCCTGTCCTGTCGTTAGGTTCATGTGTGTCAGCTGTGCTCCCATGTGTGGCCACTTCCCCTGATCATCCCTCATGTGTATTTAGTCTCTGTGTTTCATACAGTCTGTGTCGCGTCGTCTGTGTTCCCACCCTCCATGTCCTCCCGGTCAGTCTGTACAATCATCGTCATGGTTTTCTGAGTCTCCTTAGTTTATCAGTATCTGTTTCCCAGTTTAGTTTAGGTTCAGTTTAGTCACGGTGTTTCTGCTTTGTGTTGAGACCTGTCATCAGCCACAATAAAGGCTCGCTTTCAGTTTAAGTTTACTCCGGTCTACTCTCTTGTGTTCGCACCTGGGTCCACCACACACACCACCGCACGGTCTGTCCCCTCAGATCGTGACAGTACGACGCGACCATGCCGGACCCAGCGACACAAGAGCAGGAGATCATTCGAACAGTGTAGTCGCTATGCGGCAAGTGGCTGCAGTGTTCCAGAGAGGAGGAACGGGAAGAGTTAGTCCGCCAAGTAGGGGTATGCGTGTCCGTATTCCCCTGGTTATGGGAGGCGCTGCATCCCCTCATCATTGACTTTCTCGTCTCCACTCTCCAAAAACAAACATAAATATGTTTTTTAATGCTGTTATATCAAAGGTATGTTTTTTAAAGATTTCCCTTCAGTATCCTGTAAACGTTCCTTTTAAATTTTCCCAGAATTTCCTCTTTATTTATACAAATAAATCTAACTGAGACGCTAGGACTCATTTTCAAAAGTGACCTGTTTAAAATATTCATACAAAAGTATATCATGTTAAAACACACTATAATGATTACAATTCATATAGATGTAAAGAGGGAAGGATGTAAAGGATGTAAACACGCAACATGTACGTGTAACTTACTAAGATTGATTGATTGATTTTTGACCAGGATATGTCCTTCATTGTGCATATTAAACAAATATTTTCTTCCATTTGTACAATATCTCTAAACTACTAGTACCATATCACCCTATTAGAGCACTTCGCTCTCACACTGCAGGCTTACTTGTTGTTCCTAGACCTTTCAAACTACAGACCGATCTCTAACCTCTCATTATTATCCAAGATCCTGGAGAGACTAGTTCTCTCCCAGCTCCAGGCGTACTTGGACACGAACAATATTGCTGAGAAATTTCAATCTGCTTTTAAGCCATTGCATAGCACTGAAACAGCGTTGGTTAGAGTTCTTAATGATATTCTTGTAATCACTGATACTGGACGCTCTATGGTCCTAGTTTTACTGGACCTCTCTTCGGCCTTTGATATGGTGGACCATAACATTTTATTATTAAGACTTGAGCACACTGTGGGTATTAGAGGCACTGCCCTCGACTGGTTTAAATCATACCTCGCTGAAGGTCCTTTCAGTTAACTTAGGCACCTTCTCCTCTTCCTCCGCTACCGGTCTGTTGTGGTGTGCCTCAAGGATCGGTGTTGGGCCCTATTCTCTTCTCATTGTATTTGCTCCCTCTAGGCGCAATCTTTGAAAAATACAATATCGCCTTCCACTGTTACGCCGATGACATACAGATCTATTTTGAACTTACTGACGACCTTGCTGTGTCCCTGCACTACTTTCAAGAATGCATGCGGGAGGTCAAAGAATGGTTCCTGAGTAATTCCCTCGACTGAGACTGTGGTGTTCAACAGTAAAATCCCTCGTGCCCAACTCTGTGCTGCCCTGGGTTCCTTTGCTAGCTCTTCCTGTGACTATGTCAGTAACTTGGGTGCACTGCTGGATAGCTCGCTCAAACTCGATAAGCAAGTGTCTGCTGTAGTGAGATCTAGCTTCCACCAACTGCGCCTTATCTCTAAGGCTAGGCATTATGTTCCGCACGAGGACCTGGAGAAGCTTATTCACGCTTTTGTGACCTCCAGGTTGGATTATTGTAACTCCTTGTACTACGGTCTTCCCTCTTCTCTTCTTCTTAGACTGCAAACAGTCCAAAATGCAGCAGCCCGCCTCTTGACTGGTACCAGGAAATTTTGCCATATTACTCCTGTCCTAGCTAGCTTGCATTGGCTGCCCATAAAGTACCGTATTCAATTTAAAATATTACTCCTTACATTCAAAACTATTAATAAATTAGCGCCAAGTTATCTTAGTGAACTTCTCAAACCACATACTCCTGCTAGAACACTCAGATCTGCCACTCAACTACTTCTGACCCAACCCAGATCTCGGCTGAAGTCCCGGGGTGACCGTGCGTTTGCTCTGGCTGCCCCGGTACTGTGGAATACCCTTCCTCTCGACCTCCGCGCATCTGATTCCATTGCACTGTTCAAATCACGACTAAAAACCCACTTATTCAATCTTGCCTTTCCCTCTAGTTAATATTTCTTTTATGATTTTATATTATGCACTTTTATGCTCATTTAATTTCTTGTTTGCTCTGTACCTGTTGCTTTCCTATGTATCAGTGACAGCTACCTGCTTGCATACTTAGTACTTGCTTTGGTCCTATTTCTATTATCTTCCTTCTATTCTCTATGTTACTTGTTAAGCACCTTGGCATACCCTTGGTTTTTAAGTGTGCTTTATAAATAAAGTTTATTATTATTATTATTATTATTATTATTATTATTATTAATTTAAAAGTAGAATGGGAGGCAGAGCCTTCAGTTTTCAGGCCCCTCTTCTGTGGAACCAGCTTCCAGTTTGGATTCAGGAGACAGACACTATCTCTACTTTCAAGATTAGGCTTCAAACTTTCCTTTTTGCTAAAGCATATAGTTAGGGCTGGACCAGGTGACCCTGAATCCTCCCTTAGTTATGCTGCAATAGATGTAGGCTGCCGGGATTCCCATGATGCATTGAGTTTTTTCTTCTTC